GGAGCAACCCACCTCTGAGTACCATGTCTATCTATCTATCTATCTATCTATCTATCATCTATCTATCTATCTATCTATCTATCTATCTATCTATCTATCTATCTATCTATCTATCTATAAATCTTTCATTTCTATTGTGAAGATACCAAAATAATTGACTTGTAGCTTACCTTCAATAGAAGTTGATGTATTTTGGAAAGGGACTTTCTTCCATGCAACAATGCTATGATGAAAATGACTGAAGTTTGCAGAAATCCATTCCACTATGTACCATAAAAGTGTTTTTCCAATAGATTTAGGAGGTTCCCATTTAACAGAAATTCCTTTCTGTTTATCAGATAATATTTTGATATTAGTAGGGGGTGGGAAAGCTATGGGGAAAACACAGAGGGGTTTATATGTCAGCATATCATTTTTGTTACTGCATACTTCCATAACTATACTGTATATTGACATCATTCAAAAGGATTGCATTGACATAGTTAAAAGTGTTCTTGAAATTAGTGAACAATTTATAGATTCATTTCTGTAATGTGGTGACCTCCATATATATTGATTTCCATCTCAGATATTATGGAATTTTGCCTGGGAAATTGTAGGGAGTGGCTATGCTCAATCTCTTCCTCTTCCCATGATGCAGTTCTGGACTTTGCTGTCTCATCTCTCCCCCCCCTTTGGGTGAACCAGCAGTTTTTAAATGCTAAAAAAAGTAAAAAAACAAGTTCCAACAATCAACTGTGTGACAATCAGCTGTGCTGCACGATTGTCAGAACTTTTAAAAAACCCTTTAAAGCATTTTTAAACTACCAATTTGGGTGAACCAGCCCAAACCAGTAACATTTTACTCCTGGCATACATGTATTGTATGCAACACTATATTCAACAAGCCATAGCTAAAAGAAATTAGGACTCAGCTTGATGGATTGCTCATTTTCTGTTGTAATGCACAAGGTGAAATACCCTGTTTCCCTGAAAATAAGACCTCCCCGGATAATAAGCCCAATTGGGCTTTTGAGCGCATGTATTAAATTAATCCCTCCCCCCAAAATAAGCCCTCCATGAAAATATTGCAACATAGCAGCAGCCATGAGGTGACCACACTCGCTGCCTCTTGCACCTCAAAAATAATAAGACCTCCCCCAAAATAAGCCCAAGTGCTTATTTCGGGAGTCAAAAGAAAATAAGACCCTGTCTTATTTTTGGGGAAACACGTTAGGTTTGGTGATACTCTTTCCCATGCTGTTATCCTCCGTGGTAACATTTCTCTGTGCATCCCATCTAAAACTCTAAAGCAGTGTTTCTCAACCTTGGCGACTTTAAGTCCTGTGGACTTCAACTCCCAGAATTCCACAGGACTTAAAGTCGCCAAGGTTGAGAAACACTGCTCTAAAGGGTGGCTTCATATATTCCAATGCAAATCATCGATTGGGATAGGATTTTGTGAGTTTTCTGTATTTTCAGAAGCTGCAGGAGTTGAATAATTGCTGGTAGGTCAAAAGGGTACATTTTGATAGAAAAGTTTATGTCATTAATGTCTATAAACTGATTCAATGAGGCAAACATATAGAACTTTGTACAGTATCCAGAGGTGAGTTTAAAAAAATATTGTTTCTATTAGGAGCACTCTTAACAAAGAATTGTTTTTTGAAATGTTTCTAAGAATGGTATATTTAGATTGAACCTGTAGAGGGCATTGTAGGAAAACTAGTCGACAACAAGACAGACATGTGCTATGTAATTGTAATTCTTAGAGTGCGGAAATGATAAAAATATCAGTCTGACTACTATAGGCTGAACTGCAAAGGCATATTTCTAAGGCAGCATCATGACTATTAACTCATTTGTGGCGTGAAATTTAGCAGACACATTTTTATATAGATAAGGTTTTAATAATCACAATGACAGGAAACTAATCTTTTAAATATATTTTTAGATCCCAATTTCCTGCTATAATATTTATGCCTGCATTGGAATTGTATATTTTTCAACTGGATGTCTCCGAAATTTGGGTATATATAAATATACATACTTTATTGCAGTTATAGTCATATTGGAAGGAAGTAATCTGTCTGAATTAATTTAACAGCTTCAATCTGAAGATGGCAAAATTCAAAATGTATAAATATTTACAAGCGACCATTGCCATTTACAATGGCACTGAAAAAAGTGACTTACACTTATGACCGTCGCAGCATCTTCAAGGCCATGTGATCAAAATGTGGACACTTGGCCGCAGGCATGTATTTATACACCCGCTGCTGTGGCCTAGAGATGGAGCTCTCACCTTACAATCAGGAGGTTGTGAGTTCAATCCTAGGTAGAGGCAGATGTAGGGTCTCCTTCTTGGGCAGGGGGTTGGACTAGATGACCTGCAAGGTCCCTCCCAACTCTGTTAATCTGTTAATGACTGTGGCAGTGTCCCAGGGTCATGTGGTCACCATTTGTGGCCTTCCCAGTCAGCTTCTGATAAGCAAAGTCAATGGGGGAATCCTGATTTGCTTAATGATCACGTTAACTTAACTGCAGTGATCTGTTTAACAACTGTGGCAAACAGTTTTTGCAAAAGTATGTGCAATTCATTTAACAACTGCTTTACTTAGCAATGGAAATTCTGGTTCCAGTTATGATCGTTATGTCAAGAATTACCTGTAATATATTAAATAGTAATATTACAATTGGGACATACATAAGTGTGAGAATAATGTAAGGGAGTCCCCAGTAGGATATTTTATTCCATTCCATTTAATATCTTAAAAAAAAAATTCTTATGGCCACCCATTCCAGAGGACTCTGAGTGTCTTATTATTCTAACACTGTTCTAACATAATATAACGCAATACCAATTTCTGAAAAATTTGCCTGCTTTGTGATATCTTACCTTGGTAATTGTGAGGCGGTTGTTTCACTATAATATTTGCTGGTTTGGAACTTCCTTTGGAATTGTGTGCTGTCACATAAATAATGGTCACCGCTGGGGGCACCCTCACTTTGCAATGTATTTCTGTTGTTTTACATAAATCCACCTTCTTTCCTTGTTTTTCATAAAATATTCTATAATTCAGAATTTTTCCTCTGCTTTCCTTTGGAGACAGCGGCTAGAGAAATGCAGAATTGCCTTTAGAGAACAGCAAAAACTAATATTTCATTATTTGTACATATAATGTTCCAAAAGGTGCAGAAATGTGAAATCCAAAAGAAAAAAAAAAGATTGAACTGACAGCTGCTTGGGAGGGCTAAATTACACCTGAAATGCCACCCAGCCCAGGTAACAGTAGTATTTGAAAAGATTCATGAAGAATTAATCAGAATCAAAGAAAAAAGTGGGGAGCCATTTAAGTATTTGACTGTCTGCCATTTCAGCTCTTCAAATTGTATCCCCAAGCAGAATTTTAGTAGGATTTTTAAAAATTTGAAATGTTTGGGATGTTCTCAAAATCAAGTGAGAAGAAAAAACTTCTTAATATGGATAAGTCCACCTCTTTCAAAGCAGGTAGAACTTTTCTTTCTATAAAGAAGTCTTTGCTATGTTCAATCTCACCATTACCTGGGAGGTCTTTACCTGCAAAGAGGGACTTGGATTTAAAAGACAGGTGGCCACATCCTATGCCCACTTCTTCAGAAACTACAGTTTGGAACTCTCCCTAGATAATCAAGCAAGACTGTACATCATACTTTATTTCTGGACATTTTTACTTATACTCTACTATTCCATAGAACCATCCCAATCAAATACAAGGTCCAAATCTGAGAGATTTTATCCATTAAATGCTTAGAATAATTTTCACAGTGGCTTCGCAGATGTTCATTTGCTCCTCCTTCCCAAGGAGTGATCTGATTACTCAAAATGAAGATGCCAGCCAGCTATCTGGTCACTCAATAAGAGCACCCGTTTCAATGCTCTTATTGCCACAAAGTACGCCCTAACAACGGTTATTAGCTAGTCTCTGTCAGATTTATTCTTTGCCTTCCTCCATTGGTGCTTCAGGCATGTCTTGCATTGTTTCATCTCAGGAAATCCTTCTAAAAATTGGATGAATTCAATTCAAATCCACAAATGCAGAGAGCCAGAACAGGAATGATCTGATCCAAGGCTATTATTGCCTGCTCATTCCAAGTGAAGGCTTTCCACTAGCCATGCAACAGAGCTTAGGAATAAATCTAAGGTCTCTATGGAATCCAACTGGATTCATGAATTGTCTGGGGCAGACCAACTGAATTGGTACTTCCTTCTTTTAGTGGGAGTTAGCGGCATAGAATATCAAGACTAGGAGAGCATGATCTCTCCTTGATAAGATATTGATGTCAATACTCAACATCAAAGCACACCATAATTTTGAGATGAAGAACAGATCTAGTATGGGCTCCCCCCCACCTCTGAGTATGGTCCTTAATAATCTGGATGAAGTCCATGGATGCAAGATGCCTCTGTATCTGGGTCCACAGAAGGCAGGTTGAAATCCCTCAGAATCATGAGTCTAGAAAACTCCACCTGATCTCTCCCATAGAGTTGAGAAGTATAGCCAGGGAAGCTGCTACACAAGAGGAAAGTTGGTACAGAAGCAACAATCCCAATTGATCCCTGTAGTCCAATTTCACAAACAAGGTCTCATAGTCTATCATATCCAATGCAGCACCTCTAAAAACTTCCAAAGATTCCTGAATGATTACAGCCACACTTCCTCCTCTTTCCCAGAGTAATATCTGATGCCACATTCAAAACCTAGAAAGGCAAATTTCTAAGTAGGGAACCCTTCACCTTTGGATCCAACCAGGTTTCAATAATATAGAATAGATAGGTATTTTCTTTAAGAACAGCCCACACCTGTCTTCTGCTGCATTGCTCCATGCCACACCCTCTCACATACTAGTGCAATGTGATAGACACACCCACACATCATAGTTCTTCTGCCTAGCATTCAGCTTCTGCTATGTGGGACATCTGCTCATATGACACTAGACATCCAACTCCACCCCATACATTATCTCCCAACCACCCTTCTCTCAGGTGATGAACCAGGAGAATGACCAGCTATATCCTCATTGGCCCAGATATGTTTTCCACTGTTTTTCCACAGAAGCGGGAGAATAAATTACCACCTCGCCCAGTGCCCCTTTTCACAACCATTTTAGATTATTAATCCAGCCCTTTTCTTTCAATCCTTTGGAACTATGAGGTAAACAGATCAGGTCTGCTTCAAAGTGCAACCCAGTGGTGCCTGGTTTTCATTTAATAATGATAATCTCTATTTTTTTTAAAAAATGGTGTTTATTATCACCTTGATCAAGACAGTCACTTCTTGGGTACTATTGGGATAAAGTGGGCCGAATTTCCTCCATACATCAAGTACCGCAGCTGGTTCTGCATTTAAAAAGGAGAGACACATATGACAAAAGTATATAAAATGACTTCTATTATAGCATTGCTCTTACACTGGGGAATAATTATAAAAATGGAGCAAATGAACTATTTTTAAAAATAGATTTTAAAAGAGAATAAGCAAGCATGGAAAATGAGAGTATGTTGATTTTGGAAAGATAGTGTAGGAAGCTACTATGGTACTACACTATATAGGAGGTTACTCTATTACAGCAAATAGTTTTAACTTCAAGAGCTGTAGAAAATCCAACCATATACTTTATAGCAGTAGACTTATATACCGCTTCATAGGGCTTTCAGCCCTCTCTAAGCGGTTTACAGAGAGTCAGCATATTGCCCCCAACAATCTGGGTCCTATAATCTATGGGATGGCCATATTTCCATTCTCCAATCAATGGTAAACTGATGCTTCCTTCATTTCTTTCTAGAACTGTTGCTGTATCATAACTTGCAATTTCAGTCACTGAACCTGCATTGTTTGAATTCCCTTGGAGTTGTAATTCAATTCTATATGGAGAGTGACAGCTTCTCTGCCAGCTTGCTGGAGAAGAAAACTACCTATAACTTTCTACCTATCCATAAGTATGACAGTACTTATTACTAATACCCAGTAATTACTAATAAATTATGTAACAGATCAGTAAGTAACTATTAGCTGCTGCTTTATCAACCCAAGTTCACACTTTCAGTTGAAACATAAAAGGCAGTCCTTATTCACAAGACATATGGAATCACAATCTAGTCAATCATATTTAAGTTTAGTGTGTTATGTGAACTCACTGTTATCACTTTCTAGTTCAATGTATTATTCAGAGAAAATTGAGTCTATGGTGTAAACTAACTTTATATAAATATGTTGGGTGATAGTACTGTAGTGGGAAACTTTTTAAGTATTTGAAGATATCATTTCTTCCCTCTTCCTGACAATGAGAACAGAACAACAACAGTATAACAATAAAAAAGTATCACAAAACTGACTTTGCCATATAAGGGCTCCCAATAGCCAATACATTCAGGAAATGGCAGTTTTAATCGGAAATTACAGCAATGGGAAAGAATCCACCTGATGAATTTCAGATCAGAATGTAGCTACTAAAGGGAAAGAGGGCTTGCTAAAATAAAGGTGCTAAACGACTCTTGAATGGGAAAAGAAAAATATTTTTTTCTTACTTAGAACCCAGTTCTGTCAGCAGGGGTCACTAATTCTCTGATAATATATGGCTTCTTGTAATGTGCCAACTTTTATCTGATGTTGGCAAACAAGAGTGAAACCGTGGGCTAATCAGAGTTTTATCCCAATATGTTGCATTTCTTACTGAGGTTAGAAAGTTTCTCCTTAGAGCATGGAGCTTGTGGTAACTTTCAGAGGGAAAGAGCAGAAAAAGCTTGGTGGTATTTTACCACTAAAAATTTCCTCCTGTTCCTCAGTGAGATCCCACTAAGAACCATGGAGCCGAGATGGCGCAGTGGTTAAATGCAGCACTGCAGGCTACTTTAGCTGACTGCAGTTCTGCAGTTCGGCTGTTCAAATCTCACTGGCTCAGGGTTGACTCAGCCTTCCATCCTTCCGAGGTGGGTAAAATGAGGACCCGGATTGTTGTTGGGGGCAATATGCTGACTCTGTAAACTGCTTAGAGAGGGCTGAAAGCCCTATGAACCGGTATATAAATCTAACTGCTATTGCTATATTTGTTCTTTTGTAGAATATTTAGCTGATTAGGTCAACTCAGTTATTAAACTTGCTTTCTTGTCCTCAGTTGCTGCTATTTTAACTACTTAGGTGAATTGAGGGAGGAAAAAGCGGAATGGGTTATCCTTAATTTTGACAGTAGTAGGATTGGCAAGGACCAAATAGAGAATAGGGTTTCTTACCTTGAACCTTTGCAATTTGATATGAATTATACTAGACATATTATTTCTATCAAATGATGAGGATTGGTTTCCTTCCCATGTCTTGCTTTTCCCAGTTTGAGGGGGGTTGCTCAAAGACAGGAGCACATATTGTCCTCAACCTGTCCCCATCATACATAAAGGCAACCTCCACCCTTTCTTTCTTGTTCCATTTCAGCAGCAACAACAATTTATTATGACAGTCTTAGGCCAGCGACCAGAACAAATAAAAGCACTCAGTATATATACACTTAAAACTTCTACTATACAATAATAAATAACAACTAAAAACTATAATAAAATCCAGTGTCAATTATATATGGTCTGATTATAAGATAGTTGCCATCCCTAAACTGTGTGGCCCGTTGTAGGTTCAATGTTAAAAGCGAAGTGACTATGCAGTGCAAAGGGTTTGCCACAATTGTTATATAACATCACAATGATGGAGAAGACACGTGTTTGCAAGGAATCCCCAGTGCTGCTGCGCAGAATCTGGCCACCTGCGCTGTAGTTATGGACTGTTCATCTTTAAGCAGCTACTGGAGATTCTATTTCAAAAATAATGTTTTACAACTTCTGCCAGCCAGCCTTAGACATTGTTGTATGGTTGAGCATCCTTTCTTTCTAGGCAAATATCTCTCTTCCAGTTGGCCAACATGTCTGGTCATTGGTTGCTATCTTCCATGGGCTTTTCATGGAAGGCTTCCTGCTCCTTCTAAAAGGATACTCTTATTGTGGACCAGTAAAGCTCTGGACATTTGCCCTCCACTTGTTTTTAAAGGGTTTGGTGGAGGACTGGTGAAAAAGTAGACTTTTTCTTTAACAAATTAATCTGTGAAAGCATGATCCTTCCTGTCATTTTTTTAACCAGATGGAATTGATAAGCATTCTGCCAATTTCCTCTGCCTAAGCCCTATAGTAAAAAGCAGGGTAAAAGTGTATTTGACACCATGCTTACCCGTTCAGTGGCAGATAGAGGGGAATGGGAAAGCATTGAGGGGGAGATAAATAGGAAGAGTCTTATGCAAAAGAGCTATCAAGGGAAAGTTCATGTCCCCAAAGATTGCCTGTGTAAAAGGAAGTGATTGATAGATCTGCTACTACCTGAGGAGCAAAACTGGCCAATCCTGTTGATTGCAAATATTTTAATGAATTTCTAGCACACATGACTGGAAAATGATAGGGTTAATATTCCATACATGCATTTTCCACAAACATCTCAAATTCTTAAAGACTACAGTGCTATGGTTATATATAACATGATGAATATAATACAGGAAACAAGCACAAAAAGATATAATCTAGTATTCCAGTTCCTGAGTGACAGCTTCCTTTTGCTGTATATATTTTCTAGTCTGTCTTTTTTGCTGAAAATACCCAGAAACCTGTAATTAGTTGATTTGTGGCGGCTTCAATTCTCTACCCATTCTCTGTTTTTTTACTTGAAAAAGATGTTCAAGGAAAAGCAGCGAAACTTACCCTTCTCTGGAGTAATATATACTGTAGATTCACTCCATCTGCTCCACAGACTTCTGGGCTGTGTTAATTTGCATCTAATTTGAAACTCATACTTCGTATTTGCATCTAAGTTGTACTCGGTGTTAAGTTCATTTCTTAAATTAGCATCCCAGTCTCTCACCTAAAACAGAAACAGTGAAATCCAATTTTGCACTCTTCTGTAGTAGGTAAAGGTAAAGGTTCCCCTCGCACATATGTGCTAGCCATTCAACACTCTAGGGGAGGTGGTCATCTCCATTTCAAAGCCGAAGAGCCAGCACTGTCTGAAGACGTCTCTGTGGTCATGTGGCCGGCATGACTAAACGCTGAAGGCGCATGGAACGCTGTTACCTTCCCATCAAAGTGGTCCCTATTTTTCTACTTGCATTTTTACATGCTTTCAAACTGCTAGTTTGGCAGAAGCTGGGACAAGTAACAGGAGCTCATTCCATTTCATGGTGCTAGGGATTCAAACCGCCAAACTGCAGAGCTTTCTGATCGACAAGCTCAGCACCTTAGCATTCTTCTGGTCTTAGCCTAAATCTTTGGTTCCTACATAGCGTGGTGTGAACCCTGTGTGAAAGGCCTCCATCTATAATGGAAACTGATTTCTGATTTACTGTTGTAGCTTCTTTTCCTAACAGTCAACTTCTTTTTAAAATCAGTGATAATTGAATAAATCAAACATAAATAGAGCATTCTCAGGGCTAGCTTCCTTAAACAGGGAAATTAAAAACAGCAATATAGGGGATAATGTTAGATTCTGGATGTATATGACTTAGATCAGGGGTGAAATCCAGCAGGTTCTGACAGGTTTTGGAGAACCGGTAGTGGAAATTTTGAGCAAATGCCACCTCTGTCTGGCCCCAGAGTAGGGTGGAAATGGAGATTTTGCAGTATCCTTCCCCTGCCACACCCACCAAGACACACCACGCCCACCAAGCCACGCCCACAGCACCAGTAGTGAAAAAAAAATGAATTTCATCACTGACTTAGAGGGCAATAAATATTATTTTAGCTGCATTTGGCAATATTCCTGTTAATTATACTTAATGGGACCTACTTTTGCCTCAAAGTCATGTTTGGATAATAACACTCAGTAGAAACTCAGAGGTTTCTGAAGTTCAATCCCAAACTATATGTACATCATTGGGTCTCTCAACATGTCTGTTAAGATAATGTACCTGAATTTAATGGAGCAATGATGCTTACTCACTCTGATTTGAGATTATCTGAAAAAGAACATTAATTTAAGCGAAAGTAGTGCTAAAGGAAAGCTTTAAAACAATCTTTCCATTACATTTACAGCTATGTATATATTTAATTTTCTAAAAATAAAATATGAAGATAATAAATATCTCTTTCCTATTATGTGGTTAGCAACATTTTGCTCACACTGCTGGAGGGAGGAAACATACTTATCTATAACAACTGACATTACATCAAAAATGACAAACATCATGCAAACTCTTTTTTTCTACATTTGTTCCCAAGACCTGAGTATGTTAGCTGTGTGTTTAGTGCCATGATATGAAACCTGTTTAGTCACTTTCCCCCTTGCTTCCCCCTATGGACCCTCACGTGTTCCTGTGTCTCCTAGTTTGTTGCTCTGGAGATGATACACTTTCTGGTGAAAGAAGAATCATCACAGATTGGGTAAAGAAAGATCTACTGCATCCCAGCACCATCAGTTTTCTATATCAGCCTGTTAAATCATAGAATAGCCAAGCATTCAACTCAATCAGTCTAAGAGTTGCATGGTGTATTGAAAATATAAGAATATATACGGTAGGGGTGGCATTCTTTCAATTGTATTAACAAATGTACTCCTCTATTATATATTTATAAAAAATATTGGAGACACTCCCTGGATTTATTTTTCTTACAATTTAAAATCTTTTCAAACCATATAACAGGGACTATATCAAAGAATAATCACTTACAATTCACTAAATTGATCATAGGACAAATATTCTTATCAACTTTGCCCTCCTGATAAGCTTTCAAGCATGATGGATTACAGTTTCTATAATCTCCATTCATCATGGCCAAGCATATGATTTTTATTGATGGATTGCATTCATATACTGACACAATAGCAGTTAAAAGGGTTGTGGATTATGAAGTCCTACAACAGTGGTGCATACTAAGATGAGGAAAGCTGTTTTAGACAAACTGAATATGGATGGGTCTAATGTGAACCTGAATTGTTTCATAGTTTTGTATGTTTTAAAAAAGTAAACCTATCTTTGTAGCATCAAAGGTTGAAAAGCTATAAATCTGAATTCTATGCATATGAAAACAAGTTTAATTATGTGTTTTTTGTCTATTGCTTTTTCCTGAATATAGGAAATATATATTCCTATATCTTTTCCTATACATTTGTATAGTGTAGTGTTTCTAAATATTTAAAGTGTATCATAAAACCACTCACCCATCCACATGCACACATATATATTTAGTTTCATATATATGCATAAACATTTCATACACACACACAAACACACACACACACACACACACACACACACACACACACACACACACCATTATACAAAATGAACAATACTAAGCATTGCTAATATTAACTGCCAGGATCCATTGTTTTGCCAACTTCCATTAATCTGAAGACTTCTGTAATTTCTGTGAAGAGAATATTTGGGCAAAAGCTCCTACCACATATATAATGAAGTTAAAATCCATTTTTGGGAAATACAGGAATTGCGTAATATGAACCATGTGTGTAGAGGAAATGTTTCACCACAAAATCAAAACGCTGAGCCTACAAAGTTATTATCATCCAACTGAATTATGAAATGGAATGATCAATAAAAAATGTCACTGCTAATTAGAAGAAGGAAGGAAGGAAGCCAATGTCTCACATGCCAAATTTCACTTATTGTCTCCTTATATCGCTCCTCACAATGCGTCTCATTGATTGCTGTTTGCCTTTTCCAATGTATTATCGTCTTGAATGCTGGAGACTCCATTGTTTTATTTTGAACAACAACTGGGACAGCTGGTATTACTAAAGGAAACATGAGGATAGCACATCAAATTTACAACAATAACATTGTTAGCATTTCCCCCAACATACATATTTTAGAAGATTGTTCTTATACTTCAAAAGAAATACAGTAATAGCGGCTATAGTTTCTGCATCAGTTCATTTCTTAGATCTTTTGCTATATAGTTATTTTCCACAAACACATTGTTTTGTTAATATTTATGTATCAGTTCCACTGTGTTTTCCAAAGGGAGATTATTTTATAAAAATGCTATCACTATCCAGAATTCTTATTCTTACTTTGACAGTTCACTTAATAGTTATTGATGATCCAAGTGAACCTAATTCAAGAATTTTCGTTAAGTAAAGTGAGACATTTAAAAAAAAAAGGACACTCAAATTTAATTAGCTGCCCTGTTCAAGTATCCAAACCAAAGGCTATGAGCTTTTCTATAATTGCACTTAACCATTTTATGTGAAAGAGTCTTTTTCTGCCTTGTCACTACAATATTGCCTTCAGCTTATCCCCAAGTCCATGAATAAGAGCACTGGTGATATTACGTAGTTAGGTTAACGGAACGTCTGCAAGAAAACAAGGAAGTTCAGAGAGCACCAAGGACCCCTCATTTCAAACCTGAGCTACAAATATTCTCCCTTATTGGTTCAGACATTCTTCTTAACTGTACCATTGTTAGATCATAATCTTTCCTCTTATTCTATCCACCCAAAGATTCTCTGGAAGTGTACAAAAGTAGATTTCTCAATTACTGTGGAGGGAGGTTGAATGAGTGGCAGTAACCCAATGCTGCCATAGGACAGAGATTGACAATGGAAATGTGAAGCCCATATAATTTTCTGCTGATACAAGAATCAGTGGATAGAGCTTCAATTCAAAGAGATCCTGTGACATAGCAGAAATTAATCCTCAGTGTGTTCATATAGCTTGTTAAGAAAAATATCAAAAGTATTATAGCTCAGATGACACCCTCCAATCTAAGGTGTTTCACCATTAGAGATTTATAGCATTTTCATACCATTGCCCAGACATTGCTGAAGTAATACCCTAACCTTAACCCTGACCTCATTCTGGTTATTTTAGCAAAAAGGTGATTGAATGCTTGTAGAAAACATTGAAAATCACTAGTAGGAAAATGACCTTCTTCAGCCTCACATACTTAGAAACAGAAGAAGATAGGATTATTTTTCATTAATATTTTTCAAGTCACTCCAGCTTACATCCTACATGGCACCAGTGGTGGATTAAGGCTCACTGGTGCCCTAAGCACTGACAAATCTTGCCCCCCCTCCTTTGAATTTGAATTTGAATTTATTGCACTTATATGCCGCCCTTTTCCCCGAAGGGGACTCAGGGCGGCTCACAATCCAAGTCAGGGAAGGGGATACAGATAAGGGATAAAAAAGATGAACAAAACAATACACAATTTAAAAGCACACAACAACCATACCATTCGAGGAGGGGGGCAAAAGCTCTTTAGCCCCAGGCCTGTCGGAACAGCCAGGTTTTAAGGGCTTTGCGGAAGGCCTGGAGGGTGGTGAGGGTCCGAATCTCCACGGGGAGTTCGTTCCAGAGGGTCGGAGCAGCCACAGAGAAGGCTCTCCTCCGGGTAGTTGGCTGGCGGATGGAATTCGGAGGAGGCCTAATCTGTGGGATCTAATCGGTCTATTGGAGGTAATTGGCAGCAGGCGGTCTCTCAAGTACCCAGGTCCAATACCATGAAGGGCTTTATAAGTGACGACTAGCACCTTGAAGCGTATCCGAAGACCAATAGGCAGCCAGTGCAGCTCGCGGAGGATAGGTGTTACGTGGGTGAACCGAGGTGCACCCACGATCGCTCGCACGGCTGCATTCTGGACAAGCTGAAGTCTCCGAATGCTCTTCAAGGGCTGCCCCATGTAGAGCACATACTGTACAAATCTTCACTGGGTTTTTTTCTCTTTCTCATCATCATTATAATTTATTAAATCTGTAAGCCACAAACCCCAACTCTGAGCAGTTCACAACTGAACAAAGAAATAATAAAATTAATAAACCCTAAATGGTAAATGTGTATAAAAAGATTGGATTCCTCTGCTTATGATACATATTGTTTAACTTTCATCAGATGAAGAATCAGGGTATCCAAGAATATATTTTCCAAGTCTTAAGCCGCCACTTCTAAAATTCCTTTAAAAGTTTTTACTATAAAAATACTAGTGACAAATTTCATGGAAACTGTAACATGTATGTCTGGGAGCGGGATAGAGAAAAAAATAGTTTTTTCTTTTAAAAAAAAACACCTGAATCATATATTACCTATAGTGTTGAGATCAACATGAAGTTCTTCTGAACGAATTCCACCCAAATAATTTTCAGCACGGACCGAGATGGAAAAAGTTTGGTTTTTCTGTAGTTGATTCAACGGAATGATAATTGAGCTATTGTTTGAGACAAATTCTTTGTTCTCTTCTGTGAATAAACTGTAAAGATCAAAGAAGATCTTAAATAAAAACATAGCTAGTTAAATATTTGAATGTGTAATTAAAACAAGATCTGTAAATACTGTTCTACTAAAATCATTGTTATTCGGGGTCAGCATGTTTTCCCCACATGTTAAGCATAATCCAACCATTGGTAATTTTGTTTATATTATGCTGCTTTGTAATACAATATAGTCCTTTAAAATTTCTGCGCAGCAAAACTTATCATTTCCAAGGCAATGTTATTCATCAAATAGAGAGAACAATCTGTAATTTAAAACAAAATAGCAGAAAAATACTTAATTCTTATTCTGCCAGATAGTTTTTCCATAAATTTTCTTTCTTTGGCCATTAAATAAGTTTTTCCTGCTGAAAAACTTAAAACAACTGTTCATTTCTCTGCCTAAAATTCAAACTAGAGTTATAAATGTAGAGAGGACCAATAACCTATTTTAGGGATATTCCTGAGAGTTTAGTAACAAATTAAGTTTGTTTACTTTTTCTCCTTTGAGTTAAAATCATCCCACACTGCTGTTTATCACCCAAACCCACAGAAAAAAGTTGGAAGACCTGCAATTTTTCTCACTTTGGTTAACTTTGAAATTAAAATAGTCAAAGAATATGATGAGTCAACCTATGTTTTCATTCTAAACGACTAACAGGAGGTTGCATAAATATAATATTCTCAATGTCCTGACTCCTAAACGTTTGTGAAACAACTCCCTTACTCTCTACGCTACGCCACAAAAACAGGCATTGTTAATACCTTCATCCAAATTTAGTTTACATAAAGTGTATATTTATCTGATTTACATAATATGCACTCTGAGGAGAAAGGAAGATAGGATTCTTGCTAATTTCAACTGCTCATATCTAGGTTACTGTGCATCAAATAATTGCTAGGGCCATAAACTATCAAATTAGCCTGAACTGGGAGCTGCATTTTAGATGGATTTTGACAGACAACGTGTATTTGTCTGGTCATAGTTCAGAAACAAACATGTTTCTCCAAGCCCCTCATGCCACTTTTCCCTTTGTAAATAGGTTACAATATTAGTTGGCAACCAGGGAAACTGTCTGAAGAAACAGTTGCCACTAATGATAGTAATAATAAAACATGTCAAAAGCTCTACTAAATTTCAGCACTGGCAATAGAAAGCTTGCCCCCTTCCTCCAACTTCACTGCCCAGTCATAATGAGGGTATGATAATACAGGACACAAGGGCTCAGAGCTGCTTGAAAAGCTGGGGGACAAAAAGGCTGGGTGGAATGATAAAAGGATGAATACTATAAAACTGAAAAGATACTGCTAAAGCAGCCTTATATTTCTACTAATATNGCATACTGGTGGTATCTCCCCCTCAAACCTTCACACACATTAAAATATCACTATATAATTTCCTACATTAGGGGTACTATATTGAACATGCTTTTTTGTACTAATGAATACTTCTTTGAGTAGATACAGGATTTTTGGCTTTCTTCTATGATAGTAACATCTACAAAAGTAAAGCGCTGTTTTAATTGGGCTCCACTAGTGGTATTTAATATAGTTGCACTGTTTCCCTGAAAATATGACCTCCCCGAATAATAAGCCCAATCGGGCTTTTGAGAGCATGCGCTAAAATAAGCCATCCCCTGAAAATAAGCCCTCCCCTAAAATGTTTAAATGCATCTGCAGCTGATCCCCACCATTCCTGGGGGGGAAAGGAGGGAACATGCCCCAAGTGCTCCACATGCACCTGCCAGCCATGCAGAACGGCCTCATGGAGGCCGCTTCCACAAATCCTAGCTAACATGCCCCTTCTCTTAGTGGCAGTCGCAAAAAGTGCAGCAGGCCCAATGACGCTAGGGCTGGCAAGAATGTGCCAGAAACAGAGACAGAACTTCTGGCCCTCTCTGGATCAGCTGATCCGTGGGCCTCAGGCCGAAGTTAAAAAGCCTTCTGCACCTCAAAAATAATAAGACCTCCCTGAAAATAAGGTCAAGCGCTTATTTTGGGGGTCAGAAGAAAATAAGACCCTGTCTTATTTTGGAGGAAACACGGTACCTCCATATAGTTTTCTTACAAATAATTAGTGGTTCACCCTGGCCATCTTCTGGGGTGTTTTTTCAATGTTCTTGTCTATCCAAGTACTAACTAGGCCAACCTTCTAAAACTACATTATTGAATGTTGCTCAGGAAGGATGTCTGGTGCTCAGGACAGGCTTTTAAAGGGTGGATGAAAGTTCTGAAATTCAGAAATTATTTGGAGCATCACGGGTAGCCTTCTGAATCGCAGGTGCATAGAATAGATCTTTCTTTATTTTCTCATAATTTGTGGACATCTTAATATTCAGCCTTTTCTAGAGGTAGAAACTTTAAATCTTTGAACTCAAGATTACAGTTATGAAGATTTATTTGGAGCCTATAGAGCAGAGCTGCTCAACCTTGGCATCTTTAAAACTTGTGGACCTCTGGCTAGCTGGGGAAGTCTGGAGGCTGAAATCAATACATCCTCCAGCTGCCAAAGTTGAGAAACATTGTCATAGAGAGTTAATAGCATTACTTCATCTGTTTTCCGCTCATGTTTCTGTATGTTTTGATACTATGCAATTACTCTAGAAAGGGTTCAGAGTATAACCAGTTGAACCCTGCGACTTGCCATATGTTGATGGGCCTATTTTTTCTTTACAAAGGTTGTTATATAGAGAGGATTTTTTTTTTAGTTTTAATGGTATTGATTTTTGCAACCAGAAGCCATTTTGTGTATCCTGATTTGCGGGGAGGGGGGTGAGAGCAGAGAGACAGAGCAAATATTTATCATTCAGCACAATTATTTTTCAGCAAAATCTTAGCGGGTGGGGGAGAATGTCTAAATTAATGTACTTGGCTTCTTCTGCCTCTGAGAAGAAATCCAAAAATAATTTTAGCATAATATCTGAACTCTTAACAATACGTGACTAAGGTGTAAATGAACAGTGTTGGGAGATAGTTAAATGTGCTATGGGAAAGTCTTACATAAATCCCTGACTTTTGCAGAGGTAAAACTCATTAAGGTGGAAGGTTGTGATTCTCCAGAGGGATGGCTTCTAATACTACCAGTCAAAAGACATTGTATGGAGAAGCCTGTTTTCCATTTTAATGGGTTTTGTTGTAAAAAGGTCAAGGGGGGAAAAAGACCAAAGAAGGGGTGTGACAACAAGGGAGATTACAAATGAATGATGATATCTGTTCTGGGGTAAAATTATGTACCAAGGCAGAGCTATTGCACCATAAAACACACATCCGGAAGGAGCCTATATTACTCATGAATCGCAGGTACTATTCATTAGTTGGCATTCATATCTATTCAAACTCTGGCTTTCTGCATACTGCTCACACAAGCAAGGGATGTGCTTAAAAAACAAAAAACCTTTTCTGCCAAAAAAAACAATGCATTTTGCGAGCTAGTAATGTGCATTTCAGAAACAAAAGTATGATTGGAATAACAAAATCTACATTTATTTATCAATAAAACAGCAAGCGTGTGTGCAAAAGATACTCTATTGTCAGTGCCTCAATTTTGCTCATAAATTATAGCTAGATTAAGGAAGTAAGTGGGCAGAATCTGTATTTTTTCTGACACCATTTCAAAGCACTCTTAAAAATATAAAACTTGCCTTTCAGTTTATATAACACAACTGTTATCCGTTTATGTATCCATTTTCTTTATAGTTAATTTTAAGTTTTTTAAGTTTTAAGTAAAGTAAATGTATGTTTGCAAGAGCTCATGCTATCAGTAAATATTTTGGACTTTGAGAGATCACAGTGCCTTTGTTTTTAATTTAGTGTAACAAAACCAGCAAATCTTCCTGGGTAAATTTTTTTGCTATTATCTGAATATATTTAAGTCCCGAAATATAAATATATTTATATTTCAGTATATGGTATATTTGTGGAGAAAGAAAGCCAATTACTATAGGAAACACTTTCATATGTATGTTATCCAAGTTATCACTTGATTATATCAGTATAATCCCATACTATCCTGCATACGTCTACAAAAGAGGTATGTTTTATTAAGGTCATCAAGCAAAATAGCGATCAAAAGCAAATTTAAAAAATTAAAGTAAAAATGAAACAAGATAAAATATCTTGGTGGTGTGTGCAGCAATGGACAATTGAAGTCCCCCTAATGTCATAGATAAGGTGACCAGATTTTCAGATTGGTAAAGAGGGACACCTTTGACCGGGGGGGGAGGGAGCTGGCCGCGGCGGTTACTGCCAGCCNGTTTTCTTTCCTGATTATCCAATGAAGAAGTGCTGACAGAACCAGAAATCAGAAAGAGTCTGTAGTACTTTTCAGGCTCACAAATTTTATTAAAAGGCATAAACTCATGGGAGGCTCACGAAAGCTTATGTCCTTTAATAATATCTGTTAGCCTGAATACGTGCAGCAGACTCCTGATTTTTTTTCATAAATTCACACAATCCTCCTCCTACCTACACGGTCTAAACCAGGAATTGTTTTTTTAAAAAGTAATTCAGAATGCTCAGGCCAGGTATTTTAGTTGAATGACACTGACCTTTTGAATTCTACCCACCTTTGCCTTCAAGGGATGATGTGCCTCCTTTATACCCTTAGTATTTTGGCAGTGTTTATACTTCTTGCTCCAGTGTTAACAGCATATTAATTTTGCCAAACACAACAAAGCCACAGTTGTATCCTGCACCCTATCAAAAAGGATCTGTAGAAACCCATCTGAAGAATTCCTAGGTTTGCAGCCGCCCTCTTGGGAGGTACGTGCCCTACTGAGGCATCCCTCCCAATAATGGCTGTTCTCCAAATGAGAAACAGTTGCAGGTTGGACCCCAAGTCAAGTTGCTGCACCTTAAGTCACCCACCTCTTTTAACCCCAGGTGAGCGCCATCGGCCTGGCCTTGGAGCAAGGCAAAGAAACCTCACTTAGCCATGTCTTACACCTTGAGGCCGTATTTGTTTTTGCATTCTTTAATTGAGGAATGTATAAACCTTCTT